CGTGTGAGCAGAGCAGAGAAGCCACAATTGGCACCAGCCTCCAATTTGTTTTGTTCATTGTGCCGAGGCTAATTCCCAGCCCTCGCTGACTTTGATAAAACGAGGCTACAAGAGGAAGCCTCACACAGGAATAATTAACGATTCATCTCTATTTATTGGGCCCTTTTGTCAACTTAAACTTGTCTCAACTGCTATAAATCCCCTCCGGTGCTGAACAAACTCTTTAATTAAATCTATTGTGCCACAAGAGCAATGCTTCAGATATCAGCGGAGCAGTGGATGATGAAAGACTTCGTCCCACCCTGACTTAAAGCACCCTTTTGGGGGCTGAGCTTCACCAGGGGATTGCGGGGCTGTCCCAAGCTACTTGCTCAAATTCCATTAGCATTTGCCATTAGCAAACCCTGAAAATGTATTCCCAGTGAATTCCTGAGGCGCTGCAGCTGGTTAATTGTTTCCCTGCTGACTAAGCAGTTGTTCCCCCTTGCCCACAACACATGAGTTGCAGTCTCCTCACAGAAGCGTAAATAAAAAGCCATAAATACACAAACAATTCATTACCCACCAGGCAAAAAGATGTTCCCCTCCCCCCCCCCATCTCGTGGGTTGCTAACAGTCCTCCTGTCCTAGGTCTCCCCATTTAGGGAAAAGAGGTGAAGCACAGCACATCCTTCTCCCTCCCAACCAGTGGAAAGAAGGATCAGCAGATGTTGCTGGAACTGAAGAAGAGCCAAGAGCATCAGTGAAAGGTGAAGCAAACCAAGAGCACACCTAGGATTTTCTAAAGGCCTTCTCTAAGGAGCAGGGACTTCCTGACACGGGATCTAGTTCCCACCTTGTCTCCAGCTGCAGCCAGAAGTGGACCTGGGTGACGCAAGAACAGAGCAAGCCCAAACAAAGCTTCACCTACTTCCAGCCCAGGAGATCTTCCTCGCTTGATGTGTGATTTCTATTCAGTGCAAGACCCCCACGGGGTCCCTCCTGGCCGTGATAGATAAATCTCTCCCATCCAGTGCTGGAGGACACCCACCCTTCTTCCAGAGTAGAATATAAAACCAACACCCAGCCCTGTAAGACTCCTTCTGCCAGCATCCCCATCAAACACCCCGCTGCTGAGTCAGGAGCTCTGCTAACAGCCCCTCCAAATGCAAACCTGGGTGGCAGCAAAGAAGATGGCAAAAGCCACCACTTGCTTTGCTGGTTAATCCCGTTTGCCTCAGGAAAGGGCCCAAGATGCAAAGGCAGAGTGAATTTCCTGTGACTTGAACCATGCTAATGCTAACCCCGTGGGTCAGCGGCTCCCCAGGGACGCCTGGAAAAGCACACCTTGCAGGGAGGTGACACTGGGCACATTTTTAATACTGTGAGATGAGGCGCCAGCACAGACTATGGGGGAGGAAAAAAAAGAGAAAGAAAGAATACGAGAGAAAGAAAAAAAAAATATCAAGCTGCATGAAGGGAAAAAACCCAACAAAACAAACGAGCCACAAAACCAACCCGAATAACACTTGTTGGGAGAGTCCTAGGCTCCTGCAGAGAGCTTCCCTCCCCTGCAAGCAGCAAGGATCATGCCCTCCATAACTCTTATGTGACTGTAAGCAGTCGCACGTCGCTCAGAGAAGGAAGCCAGGATCCCTCTTCCCTCAAAGGGACCATAAAAATGTTTCAGGGAATGGGAAATGAGAAAGGGTGGGAATTCAAAAAGCAAGACAGGAGACAGTACAGGGCTCTCAACCAAAGCAGCTTTCAGGGTCATGGAATCATGGAATTGCTGGAGTTGGAAGGGACCTTCTAGAGATCTTCTAGTCCAACTCCCCTGCTGAAGCAGGGCTGCCCAAAGCACATCACTCAGGAGCATCCAGGTGGGGCTTGAAGATCTCCAGAGAAGGGGACTCCACACCCTCCCTGGGCAGCCTCTTCCAGGGCTCTGCCACCCTCACCCTAAAGAAGTTCTTCCTCAGATTGGAGTGGAACTTCCCATGGTCCAGCTTGTGCCCGTTGCCCCTCGTCCTGTCACTGGGAACCACTGAAAAGAGTCTGGCTCCCTCCCCCTTCAACCCTCCCTTGAGATCCTTGTCAGCATTGATAAGGTCTCCCCTCAGCCTTCTCTTCTCCAGGCTAAAGAGTCCCAGCTCTCTCAGCCTTTCCTCATAAGAGAGGTCCTCCAATCTCTTAATCATCTTTGTTGCCCTTTGCTGGACTCTCTCCAGTAGTTCCCTGTCCCTCTTGAACTGGGGAGCCCTGCACTGGACACAGGATTCCAGTTAAAGAGGTATTGACAAAATACACATAATAGTAGGTGGGTGATACGAGAGCTCCCTCCAGATACACAGAAGCCCCTGTGTGTATGTCACAGCAATATATGCAGGTGGGTTTAGCTGCCAAAAGAAGCACAGCTCTAAACGAGACCCAAAAAAAAGGCAGGAAAAAAAAAAGAAAAGAGCAAAAATCTGTTCCCAGTAAACAGGCACACCTCTCGCACGGGGCTGCAAACCGCTCTGAGCAAACACCTTGCCCAACATCCCTCAATTAATCATTAAACACAAATCTAAAGGGTCACAGCTCAAAAAGATAAACCGAAGTCGTGCAGAGGGGCAGTTTTATGCACCTAGGGGTTCAGGAGTTGGAGGCAGCCAAAGGTTCCCCCCGGGCCACAATTTCACACAGTAGACCAAGGAAAATCACAACTACCCTGTTGTCACTTTTCAGCAAAAGCACGTCCCTCGGCAAGAGATCTCTCACATGTAAGGCTGGCAGTTAAGGCTTGATTTATAACCTAGGAGAGAAAATGCCATTACAAAGGAGTTGGCTAATCAGTAGACACAGTATAATTAATCGTTTTTTCTCCTGATGTTCTCCAGCCACAGAAATTCTCACCTCTAATGAGGCTGAGGTGTCTGTCAGTTGCTCTGTACTGGCAAGGTAAATCAGATCAGCTCCCCAGCTGTGCTGGAAGAAAATCCAACAGAGGGAAAGCAGAGTATCATGAGAGATGGGGTACTTGCTTTCTCCCCCATCTCCAAATCAATAGGGAGGCCCAGGGAGGCACTGTCACCTCGCCAAGGTACATTCAAGTCACCATCATCAGAACAGCCACTGCATTTTCATGAGCAAACTGCAGCTGAGACCACCTGAGCTGTAGCTGTTATCTGCAGCACCAGTATCTCCACCTCCCAACTTCATGCTGATTGTTATTGCTTCTTTTACCTCCTGCCTGTGCCACTATTTCCAGAGGTGCTTCTGCTGGGCTGTGCTGATGAAAAACTGCCAAGTCCTGCAATTCAGGCTTACGCCAAGAAAATGTTGTGCTGGCCTTTCCCAACCTTGCAAACAGTCCCACCTCCTGATTTCATCGCTGAAAACCGTACAGCACCCCTCCTCTTCTCATCCACATCAAAGCTTCCAGCTTCCTATCTGCACACAATTATTTTCCTCTTAGGTGCTGCCTTGCTCCCCCAAGTCTTTTCTCCCCGGAACAAACACTCAGGGTCTCCCAGGATACAAAAGATGCTTGTTTTTCCTTTTCATTAACCTGGCAAGCAAATCTATAGGGGGCAAAAGAGGAAAAAAAATTAAAAAAAAAAGGAAAGGAAGAATTTGCTTTCCTCTATCTTGCCTGCTGGAGAAACAAATCATCTCTGTGGCACCCACGAACCCTACCAGTAGAAAACAAAACGTGCACAAGAGTATGTACAAAGGATGGATGTCACACTATATTAAAAAAATGTCCAGAATCTGTTGCTTCAAGGGTAAAGAAAGCCACAAGGATATAGCGGGCAGCTACAGAATTTCTGTCTACCACGTACATCAGCGTGGTAAAAAAAAAATAAATGTTGTCAGGGCTGGAAAATTGCCCATCACGTGTGGGGGGGCTTAACAGACACAGAATCAGAATCACAGAATCTTCTAGGTTGGAAGGGACCTTAAAGATCATCTTGTCCAACCGTCAACCTAATTTTGACAAAAATAGACACCCACACAACAAACAAGGAGCATCATCACTAAACCATACCTCCCAGCACTTCATCAACCCGGCTTTTGAGCACCTCCAGGGATGGGGCCTCAACCACCTCCCTGGGCAGCCCATTCCAATGGCTGAGAACCCTTTCAGTGAAAAAATTTTTCCTAATATCCAGCCTGAACCTCCCCTGGCGCAACTTGAGGCCATTTCCTCTCATCTGTCGCCTGTGACTTGGGAGAAGAGACCGACCCCCATCTCTCTACACCCTCCTTTCAGGGAGTTGGAGAGAGCAATAAGGTCTCCCCTCAGCCTCCTTTTCTCCAGCTGAATAACCCCAGCTCCCTCAGCCTCTCCTCATAAGACTTATTCTCCAGACCCCTCACCATCTTTGTCGCCCTTCTCTGGACCCGCTCCAGCACCTCTATGTCTTTTTTTTATGGTAGGGGGCCCAAAACTGGACACAGCACTCAAGGTGAGGAACTAAAAGGTCTCACCAGTGCTGAGTACAGGGGGACGATCACTTCTGGGGTCCTACTCGCCACGCTGTTCCTGACACAGGCCAGGAGCTGCAGGACACGGGCACAAATAGGGCAGGGTCTGGAGAGGGAAAACAGGCTGGGGAGCAGCACATGGCATCAGGGCAGACACAGTGCCCTTGGCAATGGGAAGAAACATCTCCAAAATGCTCCGAAGGGGTGTGATGTACACACTCCCCCCCCCAATATCCCAGCTCTGGGTCTGCAAAAAAGAGCCCTCAGCTCCTGATTATCGCTGCAGAGAGAGCAAAGGGCTGGGAGGCACACGTCTGGTCAAGCCAAGAGGACTGTCACATTCATCACACGCGTTGCCAGCCTGAGATGCCCCTTCTTCCATCCATCCCGCTATTGTTTTTTGATATTTTTTTTTTGGCTTTTTCCTTCTGCAACAGGTTAAAAAGAAGCTCCCCCTCGGGGAGAGGGGAGGGGTGGGTTCAGGGGCGGCCACATCAGACCTTGTTTTAGCAAACCCCGTGGATGAAGGCGGTGGAGGTTGAAGGGGGGAAGAGGGGGGGGATGCCGGGCACCCCCGTGGGTGGACCCGGCCCCCTCGCCCCGCCTCCCGCCGCCCCACGGTTCCAGCGGGCTCCGGTCCGGGAGGGGACGGCGAGCAGAGCACGGCGGCCATGGTAAGTCCTCACCGGGGAAATCCGGCTCCTTGCTTTGCAGGTTGAGGGGAAAGGATAGGGAGGGGGGGCAGGAAGGTTTTTAGGGGGGACAGGGAGGTTTTGGGGGGGAAAGTGCTCCCAGATGAAGGGGGAGGCTGGGAGAGAGAGAGAGCAGAGCTCGCTGCTGGGGTTAATAAATAACCCGCTGGGTTCGCAAAGGCTGGGGCAGGGAAAGGGTCCATCAGCAAGGCTGTGCTGCCACTGTGACACCCCTCTCCTTCAGTGTGACACCCCCCAACTTCAATGTGACCCCCCCTTCCTTCAGTGTCACCCCCCCTAAACCCGTACCCCACCTGCAAGCCACCCCAGCCGGCTAGAAATCAGCTTTTTCCTGGCTTTTCCAAGCCCTGCCCACAGGTCCTGCTCACCTCCTTTCCACCTTCTCCCAGGTGCTAAAGTCACCCTGAAAAGGGGAAGATGTTAGTTGGAGCAGAGAGGGTTCGATTCATCTCCAGAAAGCCCAAAGCTCTCCCAATTTCCCATGTTGGTCTTTTTTTTTTTCTCCCCACTCGGTTGCACAATGCACATATTTGCTTTCCTGCTGGCAAAAAATAAAATATCAAAATCCCACTGCCTTAGCAGTTGAGAGCCAGCAAAGGAAAACAAAATAATTAAAATTTCCCTAATGAGAAGAGTGTGTTTTAATACTTTCATGTCTACTTACTCCTTTTAACATGCCACACTGTCAAAAGACGGCAGGCTGGGGTGGAGAAGGAGGGAAGGGAGCAGGGTGGAGGGCACAGAGGGTGCTCCAGGCAGAGAGAGGGTTTGCCACCACGACACAGAGCCAGAGGAGATGGCTTTTGTGTGGTCCATTGGTCAAACCTCAGCCTGGCCATGCCCCCCCACCCCCCAAGCTGGCACTGGGCTCTCAGAGAGGAGCTGGGCCTGGAAAAAACCCTCAGGGCCTGTCTTCCTCATGAAGAAAAGGGTTCAGAGAACAATTAAACCACATCCCTCCCCTTGCAGCCTGCTTTCTTGCTCGCCATGCTGGTCTTTTTTTTTTTTTTGCTTCTCCCCACTTGGTTGCACAATGCACATATTTGCTTTCCTGCTGGCAAAATAATAAAATATCAAAATCAAAATCCCACTGCCTTAGCAGTTGAGAGCCAGCAAAGGAAAACAAAATAATTAAAATTTCCCTAATGAGAAGAGTGTGTTTTAATACTTTCATGTCTACTTACTCCTTTTAACATGCCACACTGTCAAAAGACGGCAGGCTGGGGTGGAGAAGGAGGGAAGGGAGCAGGGTGGAGGGCACAGAGGGTGCTCCAGGCAGAGAGAGGGTTTGCCACCACGACACAGAGCCAGAGGAGATGGCTTTTGTGTGGTCCATTGGTCAAACCTCAGCCTGGCCATGCCCCCCCACCCCCCAAGCTGGCACTGGGCTCTCAGAGAGGAGCTGGGCCTGGAAAAAACCCTCAGGGCCTGTCTTCCTCATGAAGAAAAGGGTTCAGAGAACAATTAAACCACATCCCTCCCCTTGCAGCCTGCTTTCTTGCTCTGCCTGGGGGAGGCTGGTTCACCATCCAGCCCCCCGTGTCCATCCCCTTCTGCTCCAGCCAAGCAGGAGCTCTCAGGCCGTGGTCCCAAAACCTGCTGCAGCCCCTAGCCCATCCCTATCAGAGTCCTCCATGGCAGAGCACCCCCCTGCCAGCGGCCCCGTGCAGAGCCAGCCTCCCTCCCCACGTTATCCAGTTGCTAAGCTACCCACACCCGGCTTATCACGCCAGCCATCGGCGTGGAAGGGCAAGGGCTGAGGGTTTATTGCCTGAGCTGTGTTTACTCACTGCCTTCCCTCTGAACCCAGAGCTGGGGAAGGGATGGGGGTTGGCATCAGCAGGGTGGTGGAGCTGGGGCCATCCCAACTGAAGGGTGGCAGAGGTGGTTTGCACCCCAGCAGTGAAACCGGAGCACGCACAGGCGAAGAAGGCTTTCCCTTCTGGGGAAGAGCTGGGACTCTTTAGTCTGGAGAAGAGAAGGCTGAGGGGAGACCTTATTAATGCTAACAAGTATCTCAAGGGTGGGCTGAGGGAGGAGGGAACCAGACTCTTTTCAGTGGTTCCCAGTGAGAGGACGAGGGGCAACGGGCACAAGTTGGAACATAAGAGGTTCCACTCAAATATGAGGAGAAACTTCTTCACAGTGAGGGTGACAGAGCCCTGGAAGAGGCTGCCCAAGGAGGGTGTGGAGTCCCCTTCCTTGGAGATTTTCAAGCCCCACCTGGATGCACTCCTGAGTAACATGCTCTGACAAGCTCTAGGCAATCCTGCTTCAGCAGGGGAGTTGGACTAGATGATCTCTATGGTCCCTTCCAACTCTAAAGTTCAGTGAAATCCCCAAACGTCCTGTGAGAGGGAGAGCATGTGGCCACCATGGCAGGGGGATGGGAGCCACCCCACACCTGGCCACCCCGGAGCTATGGGGTTCAGCACACACCTTGGCACTCTCCATTTCGTGGTCTGCAGCTGGCAGCTTTCTCTAGGGTCACGGCTACGCAGAGAGGCAGGCACCCACACAGCCTGATGGCTTAGCAGGTGCTTATTCCCAATAATAATCTTCCCCAAAATGTGCAAAACCAAAGAAGAACCCACAAAGACATCAGCTCCGTGGCTGGAGTCGATGGTGGTGTACAGCCTGTGACTAGGTAAAGTATAGGAAAGGATGATTTGCCTTAGTTGTTCAGCTGGTTTAAGGTGCTACTTCTGAGCATCGATGGCCAAACGAAGCATCTCAAGGGGCTCCTGATCAAACACTCACAAGAACCTGTAGTTCTTGCAACTCTCCATTTCGTGGTCTGCAGCTGGCAGCTTTCTCTAGGGTCACGGCTACGCAGAGAGGCAGGCACCCACACAGCCTGATGGCTTAGCAGGTGCTTATTCCCAATAATAATCTTCCCCAAAATGTGCAAAACCAAAGAAGAACCCACAAAGACATCAGCTCCGTGGCTGGAGTCGATGGTGGTGTACAGCCTGTGACTAGGTAAAGTATAGGAAAGGATGATTTGCCTTAGTTGTTCAGCTGGTTTAAGGTGCTACTTCTGAGCATCGATGGCCAAACGAAGCATCTCAAGGGGCTCCTGATCAAACACTCACAAGAACCTGTAGTTCTTGCAGTAGTTGCTGGGACTCACACATAACTCACCACACTGCTCTACAGCGTATAAAGGAAACCAAAATTGCAAAGAGACATTGGTCTTTGTCACTGAGAAACAACAATCCTCACCAATTCAAAATACAGATCACCTACTAGGAAGAAATTTTAATTGCCAGGATATCATCTTTCAGATAGAGCAATAATCCCCCAGGATATCATCTTTCAGATAGAGCAATACTCCCCCACACTCACTCCTGACTTCCCCACTGAGCCAGAAGATACGCTAGCTTGGGTAGCCCCCATCCCCAAAAACTCCATTTTAGTTTCATCTTGGCCCATATTCACTCCCCGAAGCCAAGACAAACTGCTGCTTTCCCTACCCACCCCTGAAAAAACAAATACCAGCAGCTCTGCCCGAGAGGAGAAGGCAATGCTAAATCACAGTCCCTCCCTCTGCCCTTTGTTCCTCAGACAAAAACAGGCTCTTTAATTCCATCTTAACGTAAGGGAGACTGAAAAGGAAAAGGAGCTGAACTCAGGCTTAACGTGACTCATCTCTGATTCACACCACTTCTTTCTCCTCTAAGGCAGGCTGTCTGTGCAGACCACCTGCAAATAAAGCCCTCCTGCTTCAGGAAGGTACTTTGCAAACCTCAAAAGCAAGCAATTCTCAGTTCTAGAAGCCGTCACAGAGTTTTAGAGTGGGTATTTTTTCCAGAAAACTACATGTAGTGTATTTGGGAGCTTAACCTCACACAGCCATCGTTTCTTATTACCTTGGGTTATAACGAATACACCGTTAAAAGTAGTAAGCATTGCAGGTCAGAGGACAAAAGTGCCAAGCATTTCTTATTACCTCGGGTTATACCGAATACACCATTAAAAGTAGTAAGCATTGCAGGTCAGAGGACAAAAGTGACAAGCTGGGCTTCACTTGACCTAGGTATGTGCAGGATGTGCCCATAGCAGGGAGCAGAGGTGTCCCTTATCATCAGCACCCCCCAATTCAGGTCTGCACACCCCCCCTAACCCTCCCACCCAGTCTAAAGCTGCCTCCATGAATCCCACGGGACGCCTTCCCTGCTTTAAACACCTGCTTCATCCTACCTCCGCCACGGTGACCTGCTCCTCTTCCCTTTCCTTTCTGCTGTGCCAGGCAGGAAAAGCCCACAGGCTGAGCGCGGAGGAGAGGGAGCAGCTGCTGCCAAACCTGAGGGCCGTGGGGTGGAACGAGGTGGAAGGCAGAGACGCCATCTTCAAAGAGTTCCACTTCAAGGACTTCAACCGGGTAGGAGCATCAGCAGTATCAGAGTTTTACAACCCAGGAGACCTGGTCTGCAGAGCAGGGGGGGGTCCCATCTGCAAGGCTCAGCTAAAGAAACCCCTCCATCTTTCTCCTGAAATGTAATGGCCAAGTAAGATAAGCTGCCCAAGACACCAAAGTGCTCAACTCGGCACATGGTTGGTTTGGGAGAAGAGGAAAACCCATAGAAAACCCCAGCAAAGATACAGGACATCCCAGGCCTTGCATTCGCTTGGGTTAGAAACACATGGTGTAAAATTAATAGCAATGGGGTGAAAAACAATATATGGCAGTGTTCAGAGCTAACTTTTCTTCTTGCTCCACTGGGCAGGCCTTTGGCTTCATGACCAGAGTGGCTTTACAAGCAGAAAAACTGGATCACCACCCCGAATGGTTCAATGTGTACAATAAGGTAAGAAAGAGGGATGGTGGGGGGCAACCAGAGCTCTTCAGAGAACACATCCCTTCCATGAGGCATAAAACAGCAGCAGCAAGTGCTGTTCAGATCGGTGGGACCTCTCTCCCCAGACATTATTCCCTCAGCATAGCACACCCAACCTTTTTCTTTCCATCTGTCCAGCTGAGCAGCAGCTGCCTGTAGGCTGGCACCAGGGTTGCTTTTTTTAAAATCAATATCAAAAGTAGCAGAGCAAGGGGAAAAGCATCTGGAGGAAGAGTTGAAAAGTGGGGACAGCTAGCTGCTGTGACCAAGGCAGGGGTGGCAGGGACAGCTTGTGGCCAGGACGAGCTGTAGGAAGGATTATGCTGACAAGTATCTCAAGGGTGGGTTGAGGGAGGATGGAGCCGGACTCATTTCAGTGGTTCCCAGTGACAGGACGAGGGGCAACGGGCACAAGCTGGAACATGGGAAGTTCCACTCAAATCTGAGGAAGAACAACTTTGGGGTGAGGGTGCCAGAGCCCTGGAACAGGCTGCTCAGGGAGGGTGTGGAGTCCCCTTCTCTGGGGAGAAGGGGACATCCCACCTGGATGCTCCTGAGTGATGCACTCTGGGCAACCCTGCTTTGTCAGGGAAGTTGGATTAGATGATCTCTAGAGATCCCTTCCAACTATGACAATTCCATGACTCCATGAAGGAGAAAACCAGGCAAAAATGCCAGACCACCTCTCCCACCTCCAATAATTTTGCTAACAAGTCTAGAGAAAATAACGGTGCTACCTGCCTCATCAGATGCAAACTGTCTGCAGCGCTGGGGGGAAACCGGTCCTGCTCTTTCTGCCAGCAACACTTGGTTGGTTGGTCTGTCTGTCTGCTTTAGGTTCACATCACCTTGAGCACCCACGAGTGTGGAGGCTTATCAGAGCGAGACATCAACTTGGCCAGCTTCATCGAGCAGGTTGCAGCTTCTCTCTCCTGACTAGAGAGACACACATGAAGCCAAAAAATCAACTCTGCCGCTGCCACAACCCGTATCCCGCCTGGATGGCTGCACCTTTGAGCCTTTTCCCACTTCCCAGCTCATTCCTGGATCCAGACTGCCTAAACACCACACCAAATCCCACCTCTGCAGCTCAGAGATGCATGGAGGTGCTTCCTGGGCACCGTGCATATACCCTGCTCTGATCTTGCTGCTTCCACTCTTAAACCCTCCGTTAGCCCTGTGTTACCAGCCCACAAACTGCTGAGCCTCTTGGGGCTTTCAGCAGAGGTGCCCTTTTATCAGGAGTCACGTTACACAATTGTACCAGTAAATCTTTCCAGAACCCGACCCCATCCAGGCACTGCTTTACTGCTTCTTACCTACTGGAGTATGTTTTCTACCCAAAACATGGTACATGAACCCTTTGGTTTCTCTAGACCATACCAGCAAAGTGTGATGTGCAATTTGGTTATGACTGTAACCTCTTCCTAGCAGTATTATAAGCAGACGTGTGATCTCACCCCTATTGTAACTGGCCTTTATGGTAGGATACCAACTGAAAACGTTTACAATAAAGATGTTGGTTAACCTGATGTCAAGTTTGGAAGGAGGCCTCAACACTTGTCAAAATGACGCCGACGGGTTTTCTCCCAAGACAGCTACTGGCCTGACTGCTCTCAAGAAGGTGCTTCTGCCATGGAAAAAGCTTCTTGGTGAAGCAATGCAGAGAAATGGCACGTGCATCTCAAAGCCAACGGGGTCTGAAAGAGAATGAGATTATCAGAAAAAAAAAACCTGCTTGTGCTAAAATCTTGTGCTAAAATCCCCTGTACTATAACCACAGGGGAGGCACAACCCAAAGGCCCAAAAGCAGCAACAGGCCAGGGGCTGCTTAGATTGGAATATCTCCCAAAAGAGGTTGTAGGTGGATTTTGGGGGGTAAGATCTTCGCTGGGGTAACACAAAGAGCTCTGCATTCAGTGAGTCCGCAGCCAAATTGCTGCGTTTTCAATACAACAGGAACAATTTGCTGTGAAACCAACAATAGTTGCTTTCAGCAAAACAGTCTGGGATAAACACTACAAACACCCAATTCATCTCCTTTTTTTTTTTTTTAACCCTTTACAGTTATAGAAGGTATTAAGAGGAAATCCATAGCTCTTCAATGACTATTTTCAGCATCCTTGAACATCACACACAAGACACAAAAAAACACCTTTATCTTGGCAGGATGAAACAGCAGTCCTCAGGCAGTCAGTGAGATTCATACACCATTCTCCCCACCGCATACTAGGCTGTGCACGAGCAAAGACCAGAAGCAGTAGGTCCCCATTCATTCAAATGAGTATTGAAATAGAAAAAAAATAAAGAGTTCAATGAGCCTGGATAGCTAAATGCACCATTTTAATACAAACTAGGCCCATTTTCACCATCTCTTCGGCTATTTCAGCCTACAGTTTTGCAGCGTCACATTACAGCAATACAGAATACTGCCATCAGATGAACTTGTCCAATTTCTTCATTAAAAAGTCAAAATGTGTATTTATTGGGCAAGATATTATTGTATTGTACGCAACCCTTCCACTCCCCCCTCCCCCGAGTCATCCGAAAAGTGCAGGTGAAATCCATGGCATGAAGACACACATCTCTTCTTGGTCCATCCCATTGGATATTCTTCAGTCTAGTACCTAAGAGCAGGCAAATCCCTTGGGAGTGCTTTGTACAAGCAACAAATTTAGTAATTCTCACTTGGAAAACCCAACAGTCAGAAATCTCACAGGAATTAATAGTCACGAAGCTCCATCCAGGTCTAAAGTACCATCCAGTTTCAGATCATAATCCAGTCCGTAAAATTCTTCCCATTTTTTTTTGTCTCTTAAAAAATTATACAGCCTGTTAATTGCACTGTTTTCCTAAGACCATTTGGCATGATAAAGGAGATGCAGATTACATGTTAGATAACAAGGATGAATAAAGACTACACACTGGTAAATTACAGTGGCCTATTCCTGACCAGAAGATTACATTTACAGTATAGAACAAATACACATAAAATAAGTATAACCCACAAATATTACTAGTAAGTAAAGCCCAGAACGGAATACATTGACTTACAAATAACATCTTCAAATACATCCAAAAATGTGAAATGGAGCACTGATCCATTAAGATCCATCTAACTTCCTTGGAGGAGAACACAACCAGGGAGGAGGGAGTTTTTTCTCTCCTTAACCCCAACCCAATCCATCCTCTCTTCCTTTTAAAGCGGAAACAAAAAGAGTATCTCCCTTTTTTGTTGGTTGTTTTTTTTTTTAAATCTTGGTTCAAAAAAGAACCATCACAGTAGCCAGACACTTAAGACTGTCTCCAAAGTACAGCAAACTCAGAGATGCAGTAATGGTCACATTGGCAAGAATAAATAGGTCCAACATAAAAGCTGACTGACTGCCAGAGCTGGTAACACCATCAAGAGACTATCAGGCAGTATGTTTTCAAAAGGGCTCAGAGACATGCATGAAGTTAGGGCAATTTAAGGGCAGATGGCCAAAACACTTTTGTCTCCTAGCACTGAGAATAAACCTGCTAAAAAGCAAGCCTTCTTCCTGCAATCACTGGGCCCAAGGCTGCAATGGTTTGTGCAGTGGCTGGTAATTTGGGTAGAATTATTGTGCAAGTGTGTGCTTCAGCTGGTTTTAAGCCAGTGAGGGTCAGCTTCAGGCTAGCAAGCCCACTCCAGCAGAGAGATAGATCCCTTCAGATTCCCTGCACGAGACTCTGCAGGTGTGGCACAAAGTCTTCCCCCAAATGTTGAAATGTGCCCAGGAAACTCTCGGTAGCGTGCAAAAAGCTGAGAGGAAACAGGCAGGAAAACCCTGCAGGAGTGACTCCACCACTGCTTAATAACTCAAGAGGTTCTACCTTGTCCTTAAGGCCACAAGCTGCACTGGGAAAAATCTCTCACCGTAAAAACAGCACAGAAAAATAGGAAAAGTGAGCCATATGCCTAAGGCTTGAATACTTCCAACTTGCTGCAGCCTATCATCTGCCTCTCAGAGATACACCAGCATCTTGGTAATACTGTGAAGGGACTTGGCTCAATACAATTCTATTCTACCTTCTCTGAGGCCAGTCTGCCTTTGAGGTTTTGGGTTTTTTTCAGTATAGTACCGTAAGGAAACAACCGTAGCCAACGCTGCAGTCAACAGCTGAACCCTCAAACCCTCCCCTGGCATCCCACAACAACAAAAAAAAAAAAAAAAAAAGGCCAGAGAAGCATCAAGGCACAATGGTGAATGCCCTTTCGAGAATGTGCCTTAAAAAGAATCAGTGCAAAGAGCAGAGATTACGACTATTACAAAAAGTCACCTTTTGATACTAAAAGATCATGGTAAAAAAAGGTCAGCTTTGGCGCCATCCGTTTGCACGTGAAGTCCCCAGCCATGGCACGCGCCAGGGCCTGACTGACTCTACTACAGCATTGTGAGAGAGTGCAAAACCTTCAAGTTATGAGCAGTGAAATCACTTGTTTTGCACATCCCTCCAGAATTGTGCAAGCTACAGTAAGCACTCTAGGTGGTAAACGCACGTCTTTTCTAGAAGAGGCAGGGAAGTAAAACGGTTACTACGTACCTAAGATTTTTCAGTACCGTCCAGTTCCTCTCCTTACACCACCCTCTTGGGTTCTATTTCTGCTCTTATTCAAACAAAGAGATTCCAGAAATGGATTTTGTGTTGGGTTTTCTTCCCCTCAGCAGATACCAATCGCGGTCTCACTGAGATCTCCAAAGGGGGTTTCAAATAGGAGAACACGACCATCTTTCCTTTGCCAATTTATCAGCTCTGCATTACATAGACACAAGGCTGCCAGCACAGTCTGTTAAATGCAGTAGCTCGGAGGAATACTCAAAACAAAACAAAACAAAAAAAATATTCCATTTATTTTCTACCTTCGACTTCTGGGAAGATTGAAGCTTTGGAACACAACATGAGAACTCAAATCTAACACTTGGCTGGACACCGGCTCGATACCAGGTGTGAGGAGAAGAAACAGCAAGGAATGAAGTGACACGCAGAATACCTGAGGAATTTGGAGTTGTGGAATGGACATTCAATTCACCATCAATAGTCATGATGGAAACAGGCAGGGGAAAGGGAAGAAAAAGCCCTAAAACTAAACTTGGGGCATGAAAACAATACAGATTTCAGAACAGACTAAGACAGGGAAGGATGTTTTCAAGATCAAGCCGCCATCAGACCTGCAATTGTAGGAACAAAGGCTTATTGCCATCTCTTCCCCTAGGAAACCTTCAGAACCACCCCAGTGCTAGTTGGCAAGGCACCGATGGTTGCACTACAGTCAGTGGTGGCCGGGAGAGCCGTTCATGTGCTTTTCACTGCAAGGAACATCCGTGCTGTAGAGGCCGTCCAAGTAGGCCTGAGAAATCTCTGCTACCAAGCTCCTGTCTGGGACGGACTGGGCCATTCCATAGATGGCTCCCTAAGCAGAAAAGAGGAGGTCGTTACACAGGATCGTTAATACCATCACCATTAACACATCCACCCCAAACACACGCTCGCTAGAACGCTGGCTTCCTTACCATGCCTGTGGTCTTGGCATTGAGGTCCTTCATGATGTCCTCGATGCTGTCTTTGACATCTTTCAGGAACTGCTCAGCAACACCAGGCTTCGTGTGCAACTGCGTAATGCAGAGATGAATGCTGGGCAGGCAGGGGAGAGGGGAGAGATTAACCATCTCAGGTAGGTACAGCTTCACATTTTCGGAGCAATCGACAGCAATTTAGGCTTTCCCTGGCTGGTGTCAACCACCTATCTCCTTAAAATAGCATTTCAGCAGTATCTCCCTTATGAGGAGAGACTGAGAGAGCTGGGACTCTTTAGTCTGGAGAAGAGAAGGCTGAGGGGAGACCTTATCAATGCTGACAAGTATCTCAAGGGAGGGTTGAAGGAGGAGGGAGCCAGACTCTTTTCAGTGGTTCCCAGTGAGAGGACGAGGGGAAACGGGCACAAGTTGGAACATAAGAGGTTCCACTCAAATATGAGGAGAAACTTCTTCACAGTGAGGGTGGCAGAGCCCTGGAACAGGCTGCCCAGGGAGGGTGTGGAGTCCCCTTCCTTGGAGATTTTCAAGACCCGCCTGGATGCTCCTGAGTAACATGCTCTGACAAGCTCTAGGCAATCCTGCTTCAGCAGGGGAGTTGGACTAGATGATCTCTATGGTCCCTTCCAACTCTAAAATTCAGTGAAATTCAGTGAAATAATGGGAGAAGATGACCCACTCCCAATTAATCGCTGCAAAATACTTGCTGCAGAGAGTACAGCTCTACTTTTGCAAAATGGCAACTCCTCCTTCCTTCCCAACTTCACCACACATGGTTAAAGGCCTGTCATTATCATTTCCTCACCTCATTTCCAGGTACCTCTGGTGAGAAAAACGCAGCTACCTGCAAGCACAGTGATACTTGCCATCGTTTTCCTCCCCTTCCTTCTGCAGCTTAGATAAACCATCAGCCACCCACAGCATGGAAGTTACCATCTGGCTTGTATTAGAAATAGTGTGACCAGAAGTAGGGAGGTGAT